AACAACAAAAATGCAAAACCTAGCCAGGCATGGTGTCGTGCACTTGTAGTCCCAGCTACGTGGGAGGCTGAGACAGGAGAATTGCTTGAACTCGGGAGGTACAGGTTGCAGTGAACTGAGATTGTGCCACTGCACTCCAGACTGGGCGACAGAGCAAGACTCAGTCTCAAAAATAGAGAACTACTACTTTAGGTAGGTCCCTGGACAGAATGGGACGTCAAATAAAAAAGAAGAAGTAAATTTAATAAAACAAGGCTGAACGCTGCAAGTATGAGTAGTAGAACTTACAATGATGACCATCTCAAATCAGAAAAACAGGCTCTGAATTCAAGACGTGGCTTGGCTGCAAATTCCCTATGGGTCCTTGGGCAAATCTGAAATTCATGAAAATTGGAGTTGTGGTTCATGTGACATCACCTATGCCACCCTCCTCCTCCCATCTCACAGATGGAGAAAGTGCAGCTCAGAAAAAAGGCATTCACTAAACTCATAGCAAATTAATTAGAGCCAGGATTTGAACCTCAGACTTAGCAATGATTTCTACTCTTTGAACTTCAGTACTAGGAGGATCAAGGTAAGTGCTTAGGTCCAGTGGTCTCTAAGTTATCTTCTATCAGATGGACAACAATTACTACACTCTTCTCACTCTTCTCCAGACCTGGAAGTCCCCATGTACATAGGAGTTTCATTTTGGCAATGATTATACTAGCTGTTTCCCAGTTCTAGCCCACTCCCACAAGAATAAGGCAGAAGGGCCTGAAATAAGAGAGAAGGGTCTGAAAGAGTGAGAGAAGCTGCTATTAATACTGTGTAGCGCAGCAACAGGGAATTGCAGGCCTTGAACTAGACTTCATTGCATTGGCTAGGATTTTTCTGCCCTCTTGCTTATTAAATCCCTCATCTGTCTTCTCTCTTTTTTTTTTTTTTTTTTCTGAGACAGAGTTTTTGGTCTTGTTACCCAGGCTGGAGTGCAATGGCGCGATCTTGGCTCACCACAACCTCCTCCTCTTGGGTTCAGGCAATACTCCTGCCTCAGTCTCCTGAATAGCTGGGATTACAGGCACGCGCCACCATGCCCAGCTAATTTTTTGTATTTTTAGTAGAGACGGGGTTTCACCATGTTGACCAGGATGGTCTCGATCTCTTGACCTGGTGATCCACCCGCCTCGGCCTCCCAAAGTGCTGGGATTACAGGCTTGAGCCACCGCGCCCGGCCTGTCTTCTCTTTTTTAATGTTCCCCCACTATGTGCAGTAAACAGCCAGCTAGGAGCTCACTCTCAGATTCCTATAATTCACTGGTTCAGAAAAGGGCAGGAGGCGGGTGGAGGAGAGTGATGATGTCAGTGTCAAATAAGCTCTTACAGGAAGAACTGCAAGGGAATCCACAGTCTTTTAATAAACATGAGAGCAGAAGCCAGCCGGAACCCTCTGTGCCACATCTTCATGAAATTAATAAAGATACCTGGAGTCCATCTGAGTTTTAAGGACATCTCACGTCCTTAAATGCTAAAAATGAAATTGGTTTTCCCTAGAGGATAGGGGAGTTTTAAAAACTCAAAAGAGAAAGGACAGTTTATAGAAGATTTCTCTACTTAAAGAAAGATACAACTAGGGAGTCAGAAGAATTCTAGTCCAAGATCAGTCAACAACACTTAAGACTAATCAGATTCCCTCCCAGTCACCAGAATTTCCATCTCTGAAATGAAAGAATTTGGTTAGATTACGTCACAAAGTCCCCTGTGGCTTTGACATTCTGATCTCCCTTTACAGATCCAATGATTTGCTCTGGAATAATCAAATAATGAAAGAAGCATCCACTTCCTCCTAACAGTCTCAATAGGGGGATGTTTACCAGATACTCTAATATGACCCAGATCAGGGAACAATGTCACAGAGTAAAGGAACATGGGGGAAGATGGCTTTTCTTCCCTAATGAGGAATTGCAAGTTGCTGGGGTAAGGGACTACCAGTGTATAAATGCCCATTCTTATAGTATACAGAATACAAGTCATTAACTGCATTTCTGGTACATAAAAGAAGCAAAAGCTAAGGAAAAGAATAACTGTATTCCCACGGTGGCTGTGTAGTAGAGTCACAGGACTGTCCTGAGATTTTGGAAACATGGTACCAGGAGAGAAAAGCAACTGGCTAGATAGTAAAATTATATATAAGAGAACATTTAACCAGAAGTAATGCCATAATCAACTGGTGCAACTAGGAAAGGTAACTTGCCCAGGTGACACAGCCAGTTGACATTACAGCTGGCATTAGAATAGGATTCTCAGGGCTTCTGGTGCACATAACACACAACATATTGCTTTGCTCCCAAAAACTATGTGATTCTATCCAGGTTACTACAGAAATAATTTCACTTATACCACTGCCTCTACCTCCACTTCAAAAAACAGTAACTGATTAATTTTATTTAAGGCAGACTAGGACTGTTTCCACCGAATTATAATAAACAATTTACTCTGGCAATATAGACAAGCCCATGAGATTTAATTGGGTATCATTCATCCTTGCTAATGAATCACCCTGTGGAAACAGGAATAATCAACCGTCTACAAGAGGCCAGAAGCCTGTTCTCCTTCAAGTACAGATTTTGCCTATTAAAGAACATTAGGCATCAGCTCGAAATAGTCAACAGGGTATACTGTTTCAGATTCCATGGAGTGCAGCTTTAAATAGATTTGGTTTGGAAATGGGACAGAGAACACACCGCAGTCAGTGGATCAACGTTGAGAGCAGAGAAAAACAATGATTACGCTCATTAAGTGGGTACCTGTCGACACATTTACTGTCAAGTCTTGTTATTATTTATTGAAACTGTTATTCTTTCTTCATGACTGCCACTGATACCAACTATTGCCACAAGATTATTTTAAATTTCTACAGCATGCCCTCAGAATAGTTATTTCTCCACCTCCCAAAGGTTACTTGAGAGGTTTCTATCATTCCCTTTCCACCATCCCCACCTCTGAAATATAACGAAAACAGAAAGAGAGAAAATTCATCTTTCTTGAGAGTAATCTTTTTTTTTAACCTTTTAAGGCTTGCTTAAAACTCCTCTTTATAGTTTCAAGATGGGTTTCAGTGGGAACAGAGTTAACTACTTTTCAAAGCTTATTCGATTAATATTTAGCATCAGAGGGAAGGTTAGTGTGATAATTGCAGTTTCTAAATGAACAAGTTAGATCTCTGCCTCACAGAGCCATCAAAAACTATGATAGTAGGTATCTACATTACATTCTTTCCTGATATACGTATCCATAAAAATAAAACATTAGGGAGAAGTTTTTGCAGGGTTATTTTGTGGACTAGGAAAGAAATAAAAGATGCACAAGAGCCATTCTTACATTGTTTGCTACTACATATTTTAAAAACAGTGTTCTCTGTTCCTGTGTTAGTTTGCTGAGAATGATGGCTTCCAAACAACTCTCACTCATAAGTGGGAGTTAAACAATGACAACACATGAACACAGAGAGGGGAACATCACACATAGGGGCTGGTCAGGGGATTGGGGGACAAGGGGAGGAAGAGTATTAGGACAAATATCCAATGCATGTGGGCCTTAAAACCTAGATGATGGGTTGATGGGCACAGCAAACCACCAAGGCACATGTACACCTATGTAACAAACCTGCATATTCTGCACATGTATCACAGAACTTAAAGTAAAATTAAAAATTAATAAATTAAAAATAAAAAGAAAACTTGCTGGGTAAACTAGCTTATACTCCACCTGAAAAAAATAAATAATTAATTAATAAAATAATAACAATGATCTTTTTTTTTTTGTAAGAATGAGAAGAAAATCGAAATAACAAGTGGCTGCTATATCGGACTTAATTATAGAGATTTCATATTCCATACATAACCTGCCTTGTTTGCACATGTGTTCTTATTTTATATATATGATAATAGCTTCCAAATTCATGTAAACCCAACATCTTAATTTCCTCTCGATTCTAAATTTTCTGATTCCTACAAATAACAGGGCAATACCCACCGACTCTATTTTTCTCAAAGGTCTGTGTGACTAAAGCCATGGTTGCAGTTCAAGATCGTGGGTGTAATATACCAAAGGAATTAACAAAATACTCAGCAGAAAACATGTGTATAGTACTTTAAATAAAGATGTTAAATCTTCTACAGAGTTACTATTCTATAGATTGACTACTTCACCTCTTTTTGGCTGACTTCTGAAACATTACATAAAACACAGTAGAGCTTGTTAGGAGGTACAGATAACAGCAGGTTAACTATAGGAGAAAAACTGTATCTGGCAAATTTTACAATCATGATGCTTCCTTTAAAAATTGTTTCTTTCATTGGCCTCCATTTTCATGGCAAACTCAAGAGGAATGTATTCTTCTACCAAAGCCTGATGTCCTTTCCCACTGGTCCCCCAGTAGAGTGGCATTCAGATACAACGGAACCAGGGTTTCAAAAGACTAACTCAATTTCTGTGTTCTTAGGATTTTTTTGTTGCAGTCTTGGATTCTATCTTTTTGAGATTATTTTGTTTGGCAGCTAAGAGACACTGACTGACCCAACTAGAAATACTTGTCCCCTTCAGAGCCAGGTAATACTGGCAGCATAATATAGTGAAAAACACACTTAATCAAGGGCTAGGAAACCAGGTAAAGAGCACTCCTGCCACATACTAGTTGAGGATACAATAAAATAATGGGTAAGAACATTCTACTCTATTGTATTTTATGGACACTTAAAATATACATTAAATCTGAATCTTCTGTGTGGCCCAGATTTTGGGTTTTGGTATTAAACCTTAAGGGCTGTGAATTAAAAGGGAAAACTTAAATCAAAAAGACAAAAATGTAAAGAGTGTTCAGCTCAGTTTCTTGGTCATTTTTCAGTTCCGTTCCTCATAAAGTACCTTTTTGTATTTCTTCTATTGGGAGTAAAATCAGCATTACCGGTTCAGATGCCTATTAGCGTTTCATAAACATGAAGACACTGCTCCTCTCTTACCTCAGATAGCTGGCTCCTGGAATGCACAGTGGACACAAGGTTCAGCCAACTGCAATGCTAGTATCTGCAAATGAAATAAGTGAAAATTACTTCCAGACAATAAGCCTATCTTTATTCATTAACAGTCGCAACCTTTTATAGCTACATAGTGGTTTCTTGTTTTACAAAACATTTTCACATTCATTTCACCCCACAGGAACCAGATGAAGAAGCAGGAAGGGATGATTCTATTCACTTCATAGGTGAAGGAACAGAAGCTCAAAGAGGGACAGAAAGGATGAGAAGGGAGCTAACACCATCCTCATGATTAACCTCACAAATACCATATGAAATGAATATTACTGTCCACATCTATAGTTGTAGAAACTGAAGTTCAGAGAAGGTAAGTAATTTGCCCAAGACTATACAGTTTAGTATTTGGCAGAGCACGAACTTGGAGCCAAAGGCTCTGCCTGCTGGTCCAATAATCCTTCCTTTCTACTTTAGTTTTTCCTGGGTTATTGGGCTGAGAAAAGACAAGGATAAATAACAACTCATTGTCTTAATTCACAAGTCTTGGTGGAGAGAGAAAATAAAGTAAAACTAGCCATTTGACTGAAATGAGGAAATGGGAAAAGAACATAGGATTTAAAACCAGTCAGATTTCCTTCTACCAATGGCCTTAGGCAAGCTAAACTCCATGAAAGTCAATTTTTTATATGTAAATGAAGATTATGATATATACTCCATAGCCAAAGCTGCCCTTAAACTTTTTAAATACGATTTCCCTCCATTATTCCATATATATGGTTATAGATAGCAGTGATAACATTTCTTCCCATAAATCCATATTTATATGATCAAAATATTACATTACAAGCACATGAGGCAAGAGAATATCTCTGGCTGGAATATTAATTTCACTTACATTTCCTAATTTTAAAACACCACAATATTTATCTATTGTGGGGTCACTCTCATATGACTCCATCTAACAAGAGACAGCCCAAAAACTTTTCTCTCAAAAGAAAAGGGATCAAGATTTTAAAATCAAATATTCCCTTGACCCCTAAAAAGCAAAACAGATACTGCTTTTGTTGAAAGATCTGCTGGTGAATCACACATCATTTTCAACTTTGTGCCTATAATCATGCCTTGGGTTCAGAGAGTTGGAGTTTTCAACCAGACTCCAAAAACAAAGCAAATTTGTTTTAGTAGAAGGGATAGATTTGTTGAAAAGTATAAGACTTCTAGGAAGTTTTGATAAAATGTCCTGTTTTCACAAAGGGCTCAAATCAGGTTAAGAAAAGAACATGGATACTACACCCCTGAACTTATAATAAAGGTTTATATATATAAAAAAAAAAAGAGTATGGTTGATCAGATGCCCTTGCCCTGCAAGAAACTTGCCATCTACCACCAAAATGAAAACATTAATCATCTTTTAACATCGTGCTTTTATAGTTTGGAAAAAATCACATGACCATTACGTCTCAAACCATCCCCTTCATAACTCCAATGAGATCTTATTACCCAAATTTTACAAACACAGAAACCAAACTTCAACATTCACATGGTTAACATGAAGTAGATAAAAATGTAACACGGTCTTGATACCGAAATCAGTAAGCACGCTGCTACTGCATGATGTAGCCTCCCAATTGGGAGTGTGCTATTTGAAGAGGATCACTAAATAACCTCAGGAAAGTGAAACTGAGTGCACAACACAGAACATTTGATGTCAAAGCACTAAAGCACACTTAGTTCTAAGTTCTGCTTTACTAACAAGTGAAAGGAGAAGAGTAGGCTTCACATCTGTGGTCTAACCAGAAGGTGATACATTACTAAGCTAGGGCAAAAGGAGTGTTCAATGCAGTGTTACCATGAACACTTTCTCAGATCTCACCAGGAAAGTTTCAAGATGCAACATCTCTGGGCAGTGTTGAAGCCCAGCCATATAAGTAAGTCTGCACCAGTGAGTTTTTGGGATGAGTCTGATACGGTTTGGCTGTGTCCCCAGCAAAAATCTCATCTTGAATTGTAATCACCATAATCCCCGTGAGTCAAGGACGATACCAGATGGAAGTAATCCAATCATGGGGGGAGTTTCTCCCATGCTGTTCTCATGATAGCAAGTGAGTCTCATGAGATCTGATGGTTTTATAAGTGTCTGGCATTTCACTGCTGGCACTCACGCTGTCCTGCCACTCTGTGAAGAAGGTGCTTGCTTCTCCTTTGCTTTTTGCCATGATTATAAGTCTCCTGAGGCCTCCGCAGCAATGTGGAACTCTGATTCAATTAAGCCTCTCTCTTTATAAATTACATGGTCTTGGGCAGTTCTTTACAGCAGCGTGAGAAGAGACCAATACAAATCCTTCACCAGTAAGTCTCACTTTAAGCAATAGGAAAGCTGAAGCCTTTCTAGCTAAGAAGTTCACCAGCCCTCTTCACATGGATTGACTGGCATGTATCCTCAGTAGCTCCTGAATATTTCATAATGCAATGGAGTTTTCCATAATTCCATGCAGAGATCTGGGACAACTGAAAAATCCCACTCTAGACTTTTGGTAATGAAGCCAGTTATCCTTGGCTACCTCTCGGTGTGTTTTACAACTAATTGCTGATGACATGTCTGCGTCATTTGTCAAACCATTCATCCTCTCTCCTCTCAAAAATATGCTCGCCCTCAGAAGCAGTTTTTCAGAAGCAACTATATTTTAGAGGAAAACAGGATGGAATAAATGAAGATAACACAATAAAGAAAGAGAGAGAAGCAAGAAAAATGGCAGGGAGCAAGGAAGAAGCAGAGGAAAATGGAAGTATGTGGGAAATGAAAAAGCGCAGAGATCAGTTGCTAGGGGTTTTTCACAAACCATGGCATTCTTTGAATTTACCACCACATCCCACAGAAAAAGTAAGCAACCCTACGATGGTTATCTTAATATTATGAACAAAAATTCCAAGTGGTATTAAACAAGTATAAAGCTAACTCAAAATACTTAATATCTTGTAAGCGCAATAGTACAAATAAGCAATATGACAGTATCTTATAAAAACCCCACTAGGTCAATAAACTGGCACCTCATTAGCCCTGTTGTCCCATATATTCATTCTGAGTAGGGGACATCATATTGAAGAGAATAATGAAATGTGGATTGAGGAACTGGATTCCGGTTTTAGTGCTGTGATTATCAAAACTTTTGATTCAAAGTTGCATAAAATACACATTTTTGTGTTTCTCTTTTCACAGGTCTTGACTATGGTTATCCCAAACCACTGTGAAAAGGCCAAGAATTATTTGGTCATTTTTATAAGTTTCATGTGGCAACAGAGGTAGTAGTAAGAGGATTATTTATACTAACATTTGTTAAAATAAAACAATGTTTTAAACATGGAAGTCTGTCCCCAGAAGTGACTGAAAGGAATCAGATGACAAATATGGACTCTACTCCATTCCCATCATCAAATACCACATACAATTTTAAGTGCACTCTCACCTGCCACCCTAAGATACTTATCAAGAATACAAGAAACTCCATAGCTTATGATTTGGTTGTCTCATTAAAGTAATGTTTGCCAGGATTTAATTGCTTCCCTCTCTGATTTTAATTTCCTCACCTGTCAGCATCTATCAGCAGCACTGAAATCTTCTGACATCTGGTTGATTGTGTTGAAATTAATCAGATTTTTTAACAGTAAATTGCTTTGGCCTAGAGGTAATGCTCAACTTCTTAATGTTATATTTATAAGGGCTCTATCAATGGAATTTATAATCTAGAAATAAAATGAGAGACTTTAGGAATTCTAGGCAGAAATATAAGTAGCTTACAAATCTCTAGCACTGGACTTCTAAAGATAAATACCTTAAGAGTGACATCAGTAGCAGGCCAACTAGAAGACCCTAGCTCTCGTCCCCTTCACAAAGACAGCCACAACAAGAATTAACAACTACACTTTAACAAAAATAACTGAGCTAGGTGCGATGGCTCATGCCTGCAATCCCAGCACTCTGGGAGGCCAAGGTGGGTGGATCACTTGAGCTCTGGAGCTCGAGAACAGCCTGGACAACATAGGGAACCCCCATCGCCATATAGAAAAAAAACCAAAACTATTAAAAACAAAAGAAGAAAAAATAATAACTGAGACAGAGTACCAGACTACAACAGAGAAGTTGCAGAAACCCTGGATAGCAAGAAACTTGGAATGACCACATAGAAATAGAAACAAAACACCTGGTCTTCACCACCCATCACACAAGTGGGATCAGCTGGGAACAGGGAGGAACTTCTCTCTAGGGTCGGAAGGTCAGCAAGAGGAACCCAGCATGCCCCAGCAACACCTTGAACAGCTAGAGACCTCACCCATGGAGTCTCGTGTAGTCCTCACAGAAGCTAAGTCCCAGGTGAGGGACCTGGCTGAAGTCCACATAGTCATGCTCCCTTAAGAAAAGAACAAACACATGGACACAGGGAAGGGAGTACTACACACTGGGGTCTACTAGGGGGAATAGGGGAGGGACAGCGGGGGGGGGGAAGGGGAGGGATAGCCTGGGGAGAAATGCCAAATGTGGGTGAAGGGGAAGACGGCAGCAAAACACACTGCCATGTGTGTACCTATGCAACTATCTTGCATGATCTGCACATGTACCCCAAAACCTAAAATGCAATAAAAATTTAAAAAAAAAAAGAACAGAAAACCAAACATTGCATGTTCTCACTCATAAGTGGGCGTTGAACAATGAGAACACATGGACACAGGGAGAGGAACATCATACACTGGGGTATGTTGGGGGGTTGGGATCTGGGGAGGGATAGCAAGGGGTGGGGAGATTGGGGAGGAATAACATCAGGAGAAATACCTAATGTAGGTGATGGGGGGATGGAGGCAGCAAACCACCATGGCGTGTGTATACCCATGTAACAATCCTGCAAGATCTGCACATGTACCCCAGAACTTAAAGTATAATTGCCAAAAAAAAAAAGAAAGAGTGTTAAGAGCACACATCTTTCCCAATATTAGGGGGAAAGCATTTAGTCTTTCACTATTTAATATGATGTTAACAATTAGATTTTTATACATGTTCTT